GATATTGCCTGCCACCCTGGGTCGTCACCTGTGTGAACACTGCACACAACTACACACTTGGGAGAAAGAAAGACCCTAACACTTCTCCAGACGGCCTGCCTGAGCTTCCCTCGACAAAATGCAACTGTACGAGAGATAATTCAGGCTTGCAAAGCGTGCCAGCTAATGAAGGCAGAGAAGAAGCAGCACATGGGAACGAGGTACCGAGGGGAAAAGCCAGGGCAACACTGGGAGATAGATTTCACTGAGGTAAGGCCAGGCAAGTACGGGTATCGCTATCTGTTGGTTCTGGTAGATACCTTCTCGGGGTGAGTGGAGGCCTTCCCCACTAAGGGAGAGACAGCAATAGTGGTTGCTAAAAAGATCTTAGAGGAGATAGTGCCTAGGTACGGGCTGCCACTGACTATGGGCTCTGATAACGGACCTGCCTTTGTGAGCCAGATTGTACAAGGGCTGGCCCAAGCTCTGGGGACGAAATGGAAGTTACATTGTGAATGTAATCCCCAGAGCTCAGGACAGGTTGAGAGAATGAATCGGACCCTAAAAGAAACTTTGACAAAGTTGGCAATAGAGACTGGCGGGGACTGGGTGACCCTCCTTCCCTTCGCACTCTTTCAGGCATGCAACATCCGTTTTAAGCTGAATCTTACCCCTTTTGAGATTCTGTATAGAAGACCCCCTCCTGTGTGTCCTATTTTCGAAGGAAAATGCCTGCTACCCACTCTGTGTCTTGATTGCTGTAATGCCAAAAATCTTAAACCACTCTGAAGAGATTATGTACTCACATTGGGACCGGGAAATGCTAAGACAAAAGAGAGAGCCAATCAGTGCGATCACCATAGCAACCTTGTTCAGTCTTGGGCTGGCAGGAGCAGGACTTTGGGGCAATTCCAGCAAACTCTGATGGCATTAAGTAAGGTGCATAACCATGTTTGGAAATTGATTCAAGAGATACATGAGGGTCAAAATAAGGGGGCCATCCCCTCACATAATATTGGCCCAGGTGATTGGGTTTGGGTAAAACGGCACCAATCTAAAGTATTAGAACCTAGATGGAAAGGCCCTTATGTTGTTCTCCTTACCACTCCTACCGCTGGCAAGGTCGACGGGATTGGACCCTAGGTTCACTGCAATCACGTGCGGATCTGAGGGGAGTCTTCCCCGGGGAAGGACCCCGGGGGAAATACCCACAATTTGGGCTATGGGGGGCCATAGGGACCGGGAGAAAACTCGGCCAAGAAGGGTTCCTCACTTGCCCAGGCAACATAAGAAATAACTGGAAAACCTGTGGTGGCATGGAAAGCTATTACTGCAGGAGCTGGAGCTGTGTAACCTCTTGTGATGGGCCCCAGGAATGGGACATAGGAAACAGAGATTTGGTAGCCCCGAGTGTGGCGCAATCCCCAGGGCCAAGTACCTCAGATACAGGTGCAATTTAACCAAGCTTCACTCTCTGCAAGGCCAAGGGCTTTCCTCCCTACGAGCTGCTGTAGATGCTATGCAGACCATACAAGAGTGGTAAGAGAATCTATGGCAAAAGTGAGAGAGGGACTGGCGCAATGAAAGCGAGAACGGGAACCCCAGCAGAGATGGTTTGAGTCTTGGTTTCAACAGTCCCCGTGGCTGACTACCTTAATTTCCACCGTCCTGGGTCCACTTATAGTGCTATTCAATATCAGCCAGTGGCCCAAGATGGAAAAGAGGAAGATTCCTCTACTTGAACAACAGACAGTGGGGAATGTGAGGTGAGCAGAAGTAATGCCATGGCAGGCAGCTTAGATTAGGAGAAGGCCTTCCTACTTCTCGGTGGTAAGATTATCAGGCCACCTGGATCAGCTTTCGCTTAACACTGACCGCTGTTTGCCAATTAGGAATAGGGCGGAAACCCCCGGGAAAGTCCCGCGCACGTGAAAGTTTTGACCAATGAAATTGCTTTGCAATCCGCTTAAACCAACTACCAATGATGTGTGCTCACCCTATAAATTTGTGTAACAGCTTGGGCTCGGTGCTCTCTGACCCCGCACCACTGCGTTGGATGCAGCAGGAGTCCTGACTCGAGTCAGCAATAAACTTCCTTTTTTGTGAGTTGCATTATCTTGGAGGCCTTCTCTCTTCCTGCTCGGGGATTCTGACATCAGGCATAACAGACCTCCTGTCTTCTCATACGTGTTCATACATGTATACATGCACACACTCACACACACACACTCTACCGTTTATCCCACTGTCAATGATAAAACTGAGGGCCAAGGAGGCCCACCCCTGTGCCAGGGGGCAGAGTGGGCTTTCTCCGTCTAACCGACACCCAACAGACTGTTTATGCCCATTCCAGTGACCCCAGGCCTCTCACCCTCAACTCTTTCTGCCCTAGGCTGTGTCCTCCCACGCTAAGTCTCAGACCCATGATTACATGTCTCTCTGGGCCGTGTTTTCAGGCCTCTCCACCTCCATCCTCAGCCCTGCAGATGGCATCTCAAACTCCACAAGGAGACTGCCAAGGAGGGAGACGGAGAGCCCACAACTCGGAAGGGCGAGAACCAGGAATTCCTGGAATCAGACGTCAGGGAACCCCTTGCAGAGCCTGGCAGATCTGCATGACACCATGGTCCCCTCTGTCCCATCTCAGGCTTCCCCCTATCCCACCCCACTCAGCAAGGACGTTGGCTCCTACTCTGGAAATCAGCAGAGGCCTTGGAACTAAGGAGAACCCACAGCATCCTGTCAGGAAACCCACCTGTCCCTCACGGGGGACGTCTTGACCTTAACTCTCATGCTCCACTGGTCAGGATCCCCTCCCATCTCCTCCATCCCAGGCACTCTGCTCTCTCCAGGGATTCTGGGCGCCAGCCCCCTGGGTTCTTCCTGTGTAGCCCCGGGTTAGGGGTGCGGTCAAGTCACATCTATTAACTTTCCCTTAGGACTGTGCCATGCTGCAGCCTTGCTGCTGGTCATCCCACCTCCTGAATCTCTCCTAAGTTCACACAAACAGACCCAAGGAACTAGCAGCATCTTTATAACACACAAGCCAACTCCAGCCCAGCTCTTGCCAGGCTGAAGGCTAACCTCTAGAAAAGTTGACAGCACCCCCTCTTGGCTCGCCTTCTCTCACCTTCCAGCCATGGCGAGGCTTCCCTCATTCTGCTCACCTTGTCCTTGCCCCGCCCCCCCTGTGGCTTTAGATCACTGCATCCCAGGAACCACTCATTCTCCCCTTACCCCTAAGTCCCCTTCCTCATCTCCCGTCTGCCTCTCCCGTGGTCCTGGAGTGATGGCTTTCCTCCCGGGCTCCCTGCTCCTCCCTACTGTTCCTTTCCCTTGTGCCTTGCCCTTTTGGGTGTCCTCCTCTTTACACCCCTTGGTGCTCAGCTTAGGGGACCTCCTTCCATCCGTGCTCACCTGCCCATCCTGGGAGGATGAATCCTGATACTTCCCGCCTGTCTGATTCTCTCCTGAACTTCCCCTGAGCAGATCCTTAACCTGCCTCCTGGAAACCATGCAAGTCTCATATCGACCCTCTGTTTAAATCCCTTTAAAGCTGCCTAAGACATTATGGAACTTTCCCAGAACCCTCGCTGAGCCCCAGGCCCCCAGTTCTCCAGCGGCTCCATCATGGCCCCATGCTCTCTGCAGCTCCTCACTGTCTGCTCCAGTTATGCCAATTTCTTTCCCTTTCTTGAAAATGCTCCCCTTACTTTTTCTCTTGCTGGGAACACTCTGCTCTCTGTTTACCCACAACCTTCTACCTTTCCTTTGTTGGCAGCACTGCAATCCCCTCCTCCAGGAAGCCTTCCCTGACTTCCCGCTGAGTCTGGTCCTCCCCTCTCAGCCTCCAATTCCTTTGTCCATCACCCATCTTCCCCATTATATTCTAAGTCCCATGAGGGCCATTGCTGCAAAAATCGTTATGGTTTGAGTGGCTTTGTGGTTTAGAGTGTTCCTCTGACATCCATCTGGTTGGGATAACATCTTGCTGGCAGTAATTTCTAGCTGTGTGGCCTTGGGGGAATTACCGAGCCTCTCTGTTCCTCAGTTTCCCCATTGTAAAATGGGATGAGTAACAGCAAGTATCTCATGTGACACAAGGACTAAATGGGTTATTCCAGGTAGAGGTCTTAGCAGCTTGCTTGGAGGAGAGATCTCTTCCAAGAGAAGTCAGTTGTGGGTGATGTCATCATTACTGTGTGCTCTTCCTAGAGATCTCACAGCCCCAGTGCATCAGGGGGATGACGGGCTGTGTGTTGCTCTTATTACACGTTGTGTGTTCACTGCTCTTTCACTCCTAGGACCACCGTAGTGGCGGCTGATGGAGATCCTCTGTCAGGGGAGGAGGTGGGACTGGCCGGGCAGTGGAGGAGCTCAGCTGGGAACCTGGAAGTCGCTGGTCTCCCAGGTTGGGGAGCTGGGGGGCAGAGGGGTGATCCTGGGGGAGGAGGCCCAGCTCAGCCGCAGGAAGGAGGAGTCCAGGGGCTGTGCCAGCAGAAGTCAGGGTCAGAGCCCCTGCATGTAGGCACGAGGGGACAGCCCAGGTCCTGGGGAGGGAGGAGTGAACCTTGACCTGGACCCAGAGCCCCCGGAAGTGGTCATCGGCAGCAAGGGCCCCACCCTAGTCCTAGTCCTGAGGTCCAGTGGGCTTGGTCACAGGCTCAAAGCCTGCTCCTGGGCTGGCTGGGAGGCTGAGGCAGAGGGGCCCAGAGGTGGGGTGGGCTGAACGTATGTGACAGGTCAAGGGGCTTGGCCTTGGGCCCAGCAGCAGGGTGGAGACACACAGGAAAGCATCCAGTCCAAGGAAGGTGCTTTATTGTTGTTCTGCGGCTCAGAGCCTCCTCGTCACCAGGCATACAGCCCCTGGGCACACGGAGCCCCTAGCATTGTCGCTGTCACCTTTCAAGGATGAGCAGATGGGGCCAGGCAGTTGCAGGGGGCGGGGCGTGCCTCGGTGCACAGGGGCCAGGCTGCTCCCAGGGACCTGGGCACCCAGCTTCTTAGGGAGGAGGGGAGCTCTAGGCTTCCTTGGGGTTGGTGACTTTGCCCAAAAAGATGATGCTCTGAGTGTCTTTGTGCAATATGGAAACCAGAAACGGCCTGTTGAAACTGATAGTTAACTCGTTAAGTATCAAGGATGAACCCACCACTAGGACAGCTGTGGCAGCAGCTCCTTCCGTGCCCTCCTCGCCCACGTCGAGCACGGCCTTGTGGACCACCTGTGGGGACACCAAACATTACCCACTGGAGTCGGGGGAGGCAGGGTGTGAGCAGGGGCCTGAGTGCCTCTGGAGACCGACATTCATCCACCTGCTCCTGCTCTGTCACTGCGCTGTCAACCTGTTCAATCTGTCTGTCCTCCCATCCGACTGTCAGCTGGTTTGTTGCTGTGATGCATGGATGTGGAAAGGGAAGCTGAGAGTCCTGCGCCCAGGGTCAGAGAGGCAAACAGCAGGGGCTCCGGGATCTGGATCCCTCTCTGTCTGAGTCCACAGACTCTGCTGTCCCCCAAGAACCCCCTAGTTAGGGGAAGGGGCCAGGTCGAGGCGTTTTTCTTTCAGGGGACTGTCCACAGTCCTTCTATGCTGAAGTTGCACGTGAGTGGCACTGCTTTCTGCACCACTGTGGCCCCAGCTGACGTGTCCCTGAGCCCTCAACTATCTTGCCTAGGATTGGCTTCCCAGCCCTGGACCACGAGGCCCCATGGCCCTGTATCTCCTTTACCAAGCCCTCTGGCAGGTGGGGTGCAGCGGAGACTGCAGGGCTATTCAGCCACCCCCATTCTTTCTAACCTCTGCCTCTAGGATGGCAGTGCGAGGACCCCCGGTGTCCTTCTCTCTTGCTCTTAGTATATATTCATCACGCTGACCCTGAGCCATTGTTAGTACCTCTTACCTGCTCTACCAGTTTCTTCATGCTGGGTAAGAACTATCACCATATTTTATAATTGGAAAAACTGAGGGCCACAGGACTTTAACTATTTGCCTCTTTAGGCGTGAAAAGTAGAGCTTGGCACGGGGTCCACTGATTCCACTCCAGGGGAATTCTCTCCCAATGATGGACTCCTGGTCACATTATATTTCAGGGAAGGTGGGCACAACTCCCAGTATGATTGCAACCCAGTCCTGGGGAGGGTGATTGATTTATAGGAAATTCAATGAATTTGCAAATTCAGAATTAGCCAAACATCTGCCTGTCTGTCCCCGTTCAAGCTCCTATAAGAAGGATGAATTGTCCAAAGTTTAGACTTACCTGGGAAACTGCCAGCTTGTGTTCATTTGTGATTCCTGAGAAGTTCGCATTGCTGGTGAAGATTTTCTTCATACCCAGCTGGGAAAGGATGTCTTTCAGCTTATAGTCGCTGGAGATGGAAAACCTTGGCAGCCTGAGTTTATGTATGTATCTAGGAAATGAGAAAGATAAACTTGAACTCACGCTGGACACAGTGTCTGCCTTTCTTTCACCTCACAGTTTGATCTGTGGTTTCATTTCCAACCACCTCCTTAACACTGGAAAGATGAACTTCCTTCCTCAGTGTCTAGACCCCTCAGGCTAACTCTCCTTAATTCCTAATTATGCATTTCTGACTGCAGGAGTCTAATGTCCCAGGGATCTAATGCAGGATACCTGGGTCAGGAGGATCCTCTGGAGAAGGAAATGGCAACCCACTCCAGTAATCTTGCCTGGAGAATTCCATGAACAGAGGAGCCTGGCAGGCTACAGTCCGTGGGGTTGCAAAGAGTCAGGCATGACTGAGCAACTATCACTCATTCAATGTCCCTAGGGCTGGGCTGTGGTGTTGCCCACAAAGTTCCCACCTTAAGGCTGCAGGGCAAGGAAAATACCCTCCTCCAACAGGGATTTCACAGCTGCTGGGAGATTGTGCAGGGGAGGCTGCTCCACAGGCACCAGGAAGGCTTCCTGCAGGAGGTGGCATGGAGCCTGAGTCCCAGGGGAGGGGATGGAGCTGACTGGGTGAAGAGGAGCTTACGAGGAGGTGGATACACTTGCAGGAGTGTGGGAAGCCAGAGGGGCTGCTCCACAGCACGAGGGCGGCCTGAGTGTGGGCGGCAGGGAAGGAAGGAGCTGAAAGGGGCTTGGAGGGGACATGGGAGCTGGGGGCTGCAGTCAAGGGACTTGGGGACTTGAATAATCCAATTCAGAGTCTCCATCTGGCCTTCCCAGTTGAGGACAGGACAGCTTCAGCTTCTGAGCCAAGCCGCCAGCAGGTTCTTGGAGCAAGAGATGCTGTCTCCCACCCCGAGGCTTCCTTCCCTCTCTGTCAGTCTGTATTTCCTTAAAGACTCTTGTCAGGGTGTCTGGTCTTAGATACCATATATGAGGAGGTTGAGACTCCCCTTAAACTGTGGGGTGCCCCCGCACAGCTGCCCACACCCCCTCCCTATCTGCCCCCTCCAGACCCTGGCACAGCACTGCTTCTCCCTCTCCTGTCCCCCTGAGATTGGTCTCCTGAAGCCCACCTCCTGGCCTGTGTGTCTACCCTTGGTTTACCCAGAGCCTGACCCCTACCCACACTTCCCGGGTCCTCCTGGTCCAGCCCCCAGCGCCCTCCCCCGGGTGACCCCACTGGGCTCCTGGCTGGCCTCCCTGCCTCCTTGCTTGTCCTGTGCTGTCTGCTGTCCACTCGGCACCTTGGGTGATTCTTCTAAAGCATTACTCAGATCTTTTACTCTTTGACTCAAAACCTTGTGATGAATTTCCATTTCCCTTGGACGGTGGGGGAGTCAAGGGGTCTGCAAGGCCCTAGTGACCCTAGTCCTCCCTGAGGACCCCGACCTCACCCAGCTTCCCTCTCACTCCCTCTGCTCTCCTGCTCTGGCCTCACTAATCCTCAACCACGCCAGGCTCGCTCCTGCCTCAGAGGCTTTGCACTGGCTGTTCCTTTGGTCAGCGATGCTTTTCCCGCAACATCCACATGACTCAGTCCCTCACCTCAAACATCACCTATCCTAAGGGCTATCCTAATTATAATTACAAGCCACCCCTGGGTCCAATTTTCTTTCTCTTTTTCCTTTATTTCCCCTCACCTCACCATTTCCCATCTCTCTGAATACAAAAATTATTTAATTATTTATTTTTTATCTGTCTCCCCCAATTACAAATTAAGTGCAGTGAAGGTGGGGAATTTAGTGCTTTATTTGCCAACTCAGGATCTAAATTATTCCCTTAGACATTGCATGACCTTCATTAACTAATTCAACAAGTGCTAAGTGGATGAGTGAATAAATGAGTGACTAGGATGGAAAGACAGCTTGTTCTCAGAGCCTGTCTCACCTAAGCCCTCATCTGATCCCGATTCTATCTCTTCCTCTCCACTGTTAGAAGGTGGAGCCAAAGAAAGAACCTCATGAGCAGTGGGTGATGTGTTGAGAATCCTCCTGACTCAATACATGTTGATGTAAGAGGGACCCTCAGTCCTCTTGCCCTCCCCTCCTCTTATGTCATCATCCCATGGAAGGAAAAATTTTGGCTTAAAGTCCCTAAGGTAGCAAAAGGCAAAGTTATCTCAGTACGGGTTCTCCCACCACTGTCCCGCCCCCGGACATTCCTGAGGCCCTGATGCTGGGGGTCAGGAGTCCAGGAAGAGGGGGAAGGACCGAGAAGGCAGGTGAACCCACAGCTCCGGGTCCTGGGGAGTCACCTGGGGTGCAGGGATTTTCGCCACCTCATCAGCATCTCAGGGTTCAGCTTTGCTTCCAGGTCCTGCATTTTGCCCTCGTCGGGGAGGATGAGGAGGGCGCTGTCGTTACTGGTGTATGTGAGCTCCACCAGCGTGCAGCCCAGCTCCTCGTCCCGGAAGTAAGGGGTTTCCAGGCCAAGGGTCATCATGGGCACCTCCACCCTCGTGTCCTCGCTCACGAGGAACTCTGAGTCATATGTACGGTGAGGATCAAATGGCGTCTTCCACTGGGCTGGAGGAGAAGGAGTAGATGGGGACTCTGAGTACAGGGCTGTGTCCTCTCCCTCTTCTGCCCTGGGCCCTCAGTGGGGAAGACCCTTCCCGCACCAGCTGTGCCCCCTACCACGTACCTCTAGGGCTGGGCCTGCCAGGGGTGCACATACTCCTGGGAAGATGGGTAAGCCCTTGGGGATGGCGGTGAACCCCACTGGTCAGGATTGAGAAGGGGGGCATGAAATACACCTGGTTAGTTGTGCTCCACAGGAAATCAACAGGAATGTGGAAGGAAAGGAGAGACGGGGGTATCTGAGTCTGGGGACAAATGGGACCTCCTGGTCCTTCAAGGGAGTAGATTAGTGACCAGGGGTTAGTTGTTGACTTTTCAGGGCGGACACACATCCCTACAGCCTTGGGAGCCCAGCTGGAACAGGAACCACATGGGAACCCGGAGGGCAGGGCGGGGTCAATAGAGGAGAGGACTCGGGTCTCCGCCCAGGAGGATGCATCCTCGCTGAGGCTGGGACTTCTAGAGGAGTTTCGGGCTCTGGGGCTTCATGGAATGTGTATCTACCCCCACCTCCTGTTTTGTTTCCAGCCCTGCCTGTGCCCTCAAGGTTAGAGGCAGGGGTAGACAGAAAGGGAGGCTACTTGGGGTGCCCCTGGGGAAGAGACTTGTAAGGAGAAAGTCCGAAGGTGGAATAGGAAAGGGAAGCACAGAAAACTCAAAAAACAAACATAACAGGACAGAACTGGATGCGTTGTTAAGAATAATTCAGTTCTAAGCTTTCATTTACAGACAACCACTGTGGCCCAAGAGGGCTGCTCTGGACTCTGCCAGGAGTCCGCAGCTCTGGACTAACTTGTCTCCAAGAGTTGGTGTCTCTCTTACACAGCTGACCACATCCTGACTTGATAATCCACCTCTGGGTCCCTATTTGCCCTTCTTGCTCCCTGTGCAAAATCCATCTGCCTCTACTCAGCCCCTTGTGAATATCCAGCTGGGGTTTGCCATGCTGACCTCCTGACACTGGGACCGGGTGTCAGACCAGCTCGAAGCTGGGAGAGGAGCCTGTCTAGGGGGCTCCCTTCTGCAGAGGCTGCTCCCGGATGGTGGCCTGGCCTGTTCCACCCTCAGCTGATAGAGGAGCACGAATGAAGACCCTGGGGATGCGCAGGCTCCTCAGAGTCTGTCTCACCGTGAAGACCACCGGCCTCACCGGGAGCCTCCAGAGACCAAGTCCCCCAGCAGGTCAGAACCAGCCCATGGTGGGCACAGCTGAGGGTTCCCGCACGCTCCAC